TCACCAGATGTCTGTTTGGATTTGAAAGTCCTATTATTATTACTATTATTATTATTCCAACAATATGAAATTACAGCTACCAGCTTTTTAGCTAATCTTAGCCTTTGTATACATCTTCTTCTCCAAGAACCCAGAGTATCATCATGTATCTGCGTAGTATATGTGCACATCCAAGCAGCAACGTAATTAACAGATGGAATTTTTCTCAATGTGCAGATTATTATCATTTATTACAATGCATATGCCACACAACTCTGGTTCTTCTGCTCCCATAATGATGATGATTATTAGAGCTGGTTGGAAGGAGAGCACCCCAACGGAAGTAACAAGAAGGAGAAAGCAAAGCAGGGGCAACAAGGAGTGGGTTTCCCTTCTCTTAAGGGATATCCTGAATTACAGAGATGCTGCGGTATTAGGTCAGGCAAATTTGTTTGTGCAAATTAACACCCCACAACTTACACAAGAGACAGATAATACCCTCATTCTTGGGCAGAAATATAAATGCGGAGGACTCTGCCTCATCGCCTTAGTCATTTTGAGAGGAGCCAGGGTTTGTTTTTGTTTTTTGGGTCTTCCTTGGTCTGCAGCCACCATTGCCAGACCCTGCAATGAAATAAAGTGCCCCGCCCGCACCCTTGCCTCTTCCTCCAACAACTTGTTTTCTTCATTAGCCATGGGAATGGTGAACCCATCGTCCCATTCAAGTTCAGCCAGCACCAAATCAGTAGAACTGATGATGGGATCACTGGTCCTGCTGCTACTGCCACTGCCTCCACGGCCTTCGTTGCTCATGGTACCTCTGCCTCAATTTGGCTGTCATGGCTGCCGGGCCACCTTTGGTTACCTTAGCAACAGCCAGAATGCATTTCCTCAGCAACTGCCATGTGCAGAGCTTCAAGTTCCAGTCAACCTGGCTCACTTGCATGCTTCCCTCACTCCTCCCTTCCCAGCTTATTAGCTGGTTGCAGCCACTATCACTCATTGCTGGGGTTGTCAAGGTTGATGGAAATTGTAGTGCTCAGACTCACCATGTAGCAGCACCTGGTCAGTGTCTGAGCTGGGGAAGTCAGGGCTGTAGGTTAAGATGAATCCAGATACGGAGACTGGAAAGTCAGGTGAGCGGAGGGTGGCGAAGTGAGGCAGGGCTGGGAGGGGAGGGGAGGGGAAAGGCAGGGCTAATCAGCTAGTTTGCTGAACTGCACAAAAAATTAGCTATCGGTTCTCATAAATGGTGCGAACTGGGTGTGTTGTGAACTGAGGTTTTCACTCAGGTCTGCTGTTTAAGCAGAAGAAGTGGTTTGTTATGATTGGCTGTTCCGTCTGACAGTTGACTATAAAAGGAGAGCTTCCAGACTGAGACAGCTGTTGCTTGTTAGCCGATCTGTTACTTGCTAGCTGAGCTGCTGTCACTGTTAGAAGAATTGTTAGCTGAAATAAAAATTAGCAAAGGTTCTTCCTTGTCATCTCCATTCTTCCACCCACAGTATTTAATAGGATGAATCCCACCATTGCCTCTACCATTCAGTCAGAACTGAAGAAGGTTCTTGGATAAGAAGCAAAACGTCTTCTAGGAAAAACAGTCTAGTTAATTTTTGAAAAAGATCTTTGGCACAACTAGATGACTGAGAATCTCAATAGAAATATACAGTGGATGTTTTAACCTTTGCACAGTATTCATTTCACAGCTTGCACCAAAGAGTTGAATAAAGCCAGGATGCTTACCCAGGTAGGGAGGCAAAATAACCTACTAAGGAAACATATATAACCTGTGATCTTTCAAGAAGTCCTCTGTAGCTGATATTTAATCAATCTACATTATTATTATTACACATTTCTAGAGGATGTGAAAATTTTCTAAAAATACTTCTGAACACTGGAAGCATTTTGCTAATTTATTATTTATTAAAATTATATGCCCCTTATCTCTCAATCTAGCAAGTCTGGGCAGCATATACATTTAATAAATTTAAAAATATAATAAATTTTATAAATCCGATATATTCAGATAGACTATCATTGCCTGTCATTAGGCAGAACTGTGCAAGTGCAATCATAGACATGACTGGAATAAATGCTACTCTGAAGTTAGAATGAAGTAATCAGAATATAATACAAAAACACATGTAAAATGCAAAGTTACTGCAATCTCTCTGTGAAATTTCCTGCTGCTTTCTTAGAAACACCCATTGTTCTTTCCCCCAATTCAAAGAAATTGTAGGCCTTAAACCACAGCTGATAAATATGTGATAACAAGACTTAAAGAGTGCAGTCAGTTCAAGAGTTGTATTAGTAGGCAGATGTCAACAACTGTCAGGTTTGTTTGGAAAAGGTCATCAAAATATTAGGTGGTGGTCTTTCATTGTTTATTAAATTTATTTGTTGCCTCTCTAACTAGTAAATCAACTCCGGGGAGCTTACAAATCATAAAAAAAAAAAAATATGAAAATAATAAAAATGACAGTTACAATTACAACACCATATAAAAACTAGAATGAATGAGATTGATGGCATGGGGATGAGATCATCTTCTTATCCATTAACCTCTTCCAGCAGTGCACACTCCCCTCAGGGCCCCAGCAAAACCAGTTTTTGATATGTTTCCAGAAGCTTGGAAGGGTGGGGGCAATTCTCACTTTGGGTGGTAGAATATTCCACAGGGCCAGGGGCACAGAAGGAAAGGCTTGTGCCAGCTAGAATTCCTTGGCTGACAGGGTCCCCAGTAGGCTCTTTCCGCTGGAGCCAGTGGACCAGACAATGGGGCCAGACAGATACTCAGATACCCTGGTGTGCTTTATGCATCTACAAGGTTAAACATATTTTTCACCTTAAAACTGAGCCCCCAGGATCCATCCACTATGGCAGAGTCTGGGGCCCGAAAAAAAGACAGAGATATTCCAGTGAATATTTTGCACCAGTGGGATCTTTTTAAAGTGAGAACTGTGAGCTGAGAGTACAACAGAAATATAAAGGGACAGAAGAATGGCAAAAACAATAGCAATCCTAAAGCCCTAACTTTTAAACAAAGCCTTCCTATTCTATATAATGAAGTTTACAATTTCGCTAAATTTTACACCAATACAGTAAAAAGCTTGCAACAGTAAAAACAAAGAAATGAAATGTAAATATAACAGTAACAAAGTAATGAAACTATAAAATAAGCAATGAAAGTACTATGAGATGGGTGGGGGAAGCAGGAAACGCAGGGGAGAGGTGGGGTCTGCACTTTGGTACTCCCCGTTAGGTCCACAGGCCAATTGGCAATGCCCGGTCTTCAGACTCTAGTGGTAGGGTGGGGAGTGAAATCCCATCCTGGCAGGATGAAGCGGTTCGTCGGGTAGCCTGGAACTATGCCACTAAGGGCCTCAAAGGTCACGACCACCTCAAACTGCCTTTGGGAGCAATCCGGCATCCTGTGCAATTTGTGGAACAGCAGTGTGATACAGAGCATTCCAGGGACCCCAAAGATTGTTCATGCTGCTGCACTTTGTACTGGCCGAAGCTTCTGAATGGATTTCAAGGTTGCCCCGTTGTAGTAGTCCAGGTGAGAGATGACTTAGACTTGAGTGACTGAGTGCAGGGGATCCAGATCCAGGAAAGGTCATAGCTGGTGCGCACAGTGAAGCTGTGCAATGGCTCTCCTAGCCACATCTGCCACCTGCTCTTTGAGCAGGAGTTATGAGTCCAGGAGAACCTCTAAGTTGCGAATTGGATCTGAACAAGGTAATGCAACCCCATCCAGAACGAAATATGACAAAAACCTGGATCTTGAGCTCCATGCACCCAAAACCACTTGGTCTTGCCAGGATTCAGTAAAAAGCCTATTGTCCCCCATCCAGGCACCTACAGCTAGTGAGAAAGTAGTAACAGCATCACTCAGGTCACCAAGGATGGAGTCATGGTGATGTAGCACCATCAGCATACTGATGATATTTCAACCCATGGTCACAGAGGATCTCATTTAGAGGCTTCATGTAGACATTAAACAGGATCCAAGGTATTTATACTCTATGGTCTTTTCTTGTTCTCCAATGCTATATTTTATGCAGTCCTACTGAGAAAGGTAATCTCCATGCTGAAATTTTTTAAATGTATTACCAACAAATTACATCAAGTCTTGGTTTCCCTCAAAAGAGTGAACTAAAAACCAATTTAAATATGAAATAGAAAGACCTTCAGGGGACATGTGTAAATTCTGCACCACTTTCCACATATCTGTGAGAAGCACCATCTACAAGTTATGTCAGAATGCCTGAAAAAAAGTTGTTTTGTTACCTTGGGTTAGAAGATGCTTTTTTATGTAAATAACGATACTTTTAATATTGAAAGCTGGACCAAAACATTCCTACCTAGAGAAATAGACCGGGGTATAGACCTTTAGCCTAGCTATTGGACCCAAAGTTCTCATTAAAAGTCTAATTTGCTTAAGACATGCAAATCTAAAGAAGACACCTGCATATAGGTTGCTCGTATTCTCATCTATTGGCCTTACTTGCTCATATATTTAGAGGCTATGCATTAAGTTTGTCAAGAGGATAGCGCTATAGTAAAAGGGTGCCAGTAACACTCTCTTTTAGAAATGTTAAAACAAGACCTGCCTGGCTAATTTTTGGTTTCAATGTAAGAGAAAGAAGTGAATCTTTGCAGTTATACCTTAAAGGTTAACAGTATTTAGCAATCTACTAAATGCCATAGGAATAGAAGCCAACTCAGACATCTTGTCATCCTTATAGTGCCATTTCCCAGGAAAAATTGCTTAATCACCATGTTACTATTCACCATTTTGTCTCAATCTCCATCGTATGAGATCAATATTTCAATGCCTCTAGCAAAAACCTTCAATGAGGTTTGTAAAAAAATGCACAGCCCTTCTTTAACGATCGTATTTGGTCAAATAAGTGGTATGGAGACAAGGATTCATGTTGCATTTGCCTTGAACAAAACAGTTGAGCAATAAAAGACAGTTCTGTAATACTTGTGCATTACACCGTATGGATCAAAGCTGCCTTTCTGACACCCCACCCATAATTATGGATAGTTTGCATCATTAGATATTTCTCATACATTCAATCAGCAATGTATTACATACATTGTTGAATATAATAAACAGATTTGTGAAATATTTTCATGAATATTGTAGTCAATTAATTAATACTTTGTTATAATTTTGTTCACAATAGTATGAAGCCTTTTTAATTTTTTGCAACCATCTTTAGCTTAAACAATAAACATTATTATACATTATTTGCTTCATCACACATGTAATTATTTAACTCCTGCTAATAATTTCTTATAGTCCAATATATTGGCAAATGTAAAATATTATATCCTAATGTTTTGATTACAATCAATGTGTAGATCTCGGTGGTCGCCGTATCATTAAAAAAAATAATTTTTAAAAATTCACCAGTAATTTTTATTTGAAAAAAAAAAACATTTTTGAGGATAGATTAATACTAAATTAATTAGGTTGAAGTATAGCTTATCCCTAATATGAGCACATTTGTCAATCTATAGTAAGCACCTATACACATCTGTGACTAGAAGGAGAAAGAGTATTCATTTATTTAATTCTGCTTAGACATCCACATGGTTTTAATCAATTCTGGACAGTTCACATCGTAAAAAATAATATACATACATTAGAATGTATTTACAAGCAAAAAAAGAGCATGTTGCAAACATACTGTTAAAAACAGACTCTCAGCTGTGTTAAAAATTGAAATGCATATAAAATAAGTACACTTATAAAGCAGTGTTGATACTGATATGTTCAACTGTTTATGTGTTATTTAAGAACTCATAAAAATGGCCTGTTCCAAACAAAATGGCATTTTGCAGCTGTTGAGGATAAGCCCAAAATAACCCAGCCATCTTGAGCATCAGACAGCAACTACAGCTGTACTAGGCAGCCCAAAGAGATACTTTATGCTGTAGAAGTGTAAGAAAGCAACTCTCTTCAAATGACAAACGCCTGTGTTCCAGCTTGTGTAATTGTTCTCAGAAGTTGCTCCTGGCGGTTACCTAGCTTTGTCTCTTGATGAAGCAAAGTGTGCATGCCCATTTGAGAGGTAGCTGGGAAACAATTCCAAAGCAGCAGGGTGAACCTTGCAAAAAGAGTCGTCTGTAGGTTTGAAGAGAAATACTCTGCACTGTCACACAGGGTGTAAGACCTCTTTCTTAGACTTTAAATAGCTAACAAAAGGGAATATTAATGATAGGACATTCAAAAGATTTCAGGCCTCCTAGCCTATTATATTGGTATACTTGCAAAAACAGTCTGCAAAAATAAGACTGGATCATATCAAGGGCTTATCTAACTCATAACTTAATTCTCACTAAGGGGAGCAGAAGTTCAAAAACAGGATGCCAGCACAAATGCAACCTCCCACAAGTGTATATGTGCACATGCAAATTTTCCCTCTTGAAAATGAGCAACCTCCAAAAATTATATTAAAAAACTGAGCAAGTCAAAATGAATTATTTGAGACACTGACCAGAATAAGGAGGGTAGAATCTGGTCATTTAAGAAGCTTAAAGGATACATCAAAAATAAAAATCTAAACATGCTTATAAAAGTTTAGAAAATGCAAACAATATACTACAAAGTGAAAACAATAAAAAGCATATTTAAAAATGGGAGTCTAAAAAAGGGGTAGGAGCATTACATGGTTGCAGGAGAGCATAAAAGGTTAATATGTGGGAAAGTGGATCTACAAGTAACAAAGCACTTTAATAAAATTGTAAACTAGGTGCTCAGGAAATCTAGGTCATCATCAGATGAACCTGGAAACATATATTGAGGCAGGATCGGTATCTGAAAACTAAAAGGATGATATAACATTAGCCAGGATATTTGTACCATATTTGTAAGCAAGAATTCTTTTTTTTTTAAAAAAAAAATCCTGTTCACATTACATTTTTTTAAATGAAAATGTTGTACAATTTGGCTTGTGGGAGTATCTGGTGAATAAACAAGAAATCTGGTGAATAAACAAGAAAATCAGTTCCCACATGACATATCAATTTAGGAATCCATCTCTACCATATAGGACATGTTACATCAGCTTCAATGCAAACATCCTTCCAGAGGGTTTCTGAAATGATCTCAAGACTATGCTTCTTTCATCTGGGAGACACCAGAAGGTACTGGCATCAAAGCTAGTTCTTGGGACGCTTGATGTTCTGATGGCATTCGGTATCTGACCTTTTTCCAAAAGGAACTATTTGCCGAAGAAGAGTTTTTCTTCATGATGTCCCCTTTCCATCTGATAGCTCCCTGTTTTTGCTTGATGTATCTAATGGACTCAGGCATGTGGCTGTAATCCTTTATCTTACTCATTTCAATCAGGATAGTTTTCATTCCATCAGGTATAAGAGCATGATACACTGCTATATTCTGCTCAGGAGCCTCTTCTAAGCTGGACAGCCCAGGTACTAGAATCATAATCAGCCTCCTGCATTGCGTAATGGTGTCATCAACAACATTGACTAACGCTATAAATAACCACAGATAAAGATTGTATCAGATGTTAATACCCAGAAACTTATTATATTGTTTTAGATACATATGGATTTAAAGTGGCATAATAATGGGCAAAAAACAAAGATTAGAATCACCATTTCTATATGCAAGAAAATAATACTTTAAAAAGGCTTGAAAGATAGCCGTCTTGAAAAAATAGAACAGGAGATTACTCACTGAATGCTTTCAAAGAGTTATTACATAAAGGCCAAACTAGGTGCTATAAAAATGAATGCATCTCACATTCCTTGTCATTTAATTCAACAATAGGCACCATAAGATAGAGGTGTGTGTGTGTGTGATAGAGAGAGAGAGAAAGAGAGAGAGAGAGAGAGAGAGAGAGAGAGAGAGAGAGAGAGAGAGAGAGAGAGAGAGAGAGAGAGAGAGAGAGAGAGTGTCAAAGTCCTTGACTTACAACAGTTTATTTAGTGACTGTTCAAAGTTACAATGGCACTGAAAAAAGTGACTAATGACCATTTTTCACACATGACCATTGCAGCATTTTCATGTTCAAAATTCAGACACTTGGCAACTGACTCATATTTATGACAGTTGCAATGTCCTGGGATCACGCAATCAGGTTTTCCAACCTAAAAAGCAAAGGCAATGGGGAAGCCAGATTCACTTAACAACCATGTTACCAACTTAACAACTGCAGTTATTCACTTAACAACTGTAGTAAAAGGTTATAAGAAAAGGTTATAAAAGGTTATAAAATGGCCACCTAATGAGAAGGAAGACTAGAGAAGAGCCTAATGCTGGGAACAATTGAGGGCAAAAGAGGACGGGGACAGCAGAGAATGAGGTGGCTGGATGGAGTCACTGGAGCAGTCAGTGTGAGCTTAAATGGACTCCAGGGATGGTAGAGGACAGGAAGGCCTGGAGGAACATTGCCAATGGGGTTGTGATGGGTCGAACACAATGTCGCAACTAACAACAATATATATATGATCCAATTTTATTCAACTAATATTTTAAAGCAGCATGAAAATGTTAAGTTTACAATTGAAAAATTATTTTAAATATTATCTTTAAACCATTTTAGAGTATTATGCAATATAATAAAATTATCCATTCTTTTTACTATAAAACTATACAATCCTGCATTGTTTGGGTACACGCATATTTGACTCATTTATATCCTTGATTCCAGCTGCAGATTTCCTTGGGCACAATCACAATAAGTGGTTTTTTAAATTCCTCATACTGCCTTCAACAGAGCACTGATTTGAGAAATTAAAATGATTTCCATGATAAATCTTCAGATATAAGAGATTGGCATATTATTGCTTTATTTACTCAAATATGCATGTATAAATTTATTGTAAAGGAAAAATAGTTGTATTAGCACTTCACCCACAATTTAGTTTAGTACCTAGTTTTACAGTAAAAATAGATAATTTTATTAAGTTGCATAAGACTCCATTGTAAAAATGGCTTAAAGATTATATTAAAAATAATTTCTCAATTGTAAACCTAGTATTTTCATGCTGCTTTCAAATAGTAGTTGAATAAAATTGGATTTTTAACGGTAGAGGACTTTCTAATGTTACTTAAGTAACAAAAAAAAAAAGAAGTTAAGAATCTCAAGGGCTATTTTTTCTTTTTATTATTATGTGCATATGTTTTTATTGCTTTATATATGCTTACTTTGTATGTCACTATTATTTCATAACTATATTAACAAATAAAATAAAATGTACCCTTTTTTAGTAACAGAAATATTCCTTCTTTAATCACTCTCCCAACTATCCCCATTTTTTAAAAAAAATCTGCCTTTATTTTCATATCGCATAAAATGCTGTATGAATTGAAAAGGACTTTAAGATTTTGGACTGCATAAATAATTATACCCACTGTACCAGATTGTGTGCATAGACCACTTACCAATTTGTATAGGCGCTCTGAGTGAAATGGGAAGTCTCAAAATTCAATATATAAATAAAATAAATAGTAAATAAGCAACATCAGACTGAATGTTACGTTTTACCTTTTCCTGGCAAATCATCCCTGCCAGGTATAAAGAGACTATATCCACACTGTTTTTCCAGAACATCAGGCAGTACTTTCAGTACAAAGTCAGCTTGGCTGCTGATTTTTGGATACAACACATACGCATCATAGATTTTTCCATCTGAAACTGACAGTATAAGACAAAACTGCTTCAGAAATTATTAATAACCTCCATCCCTAATACATGAAACAGTTACAAGTAGAATTGATTCCAGAATAAACCAGGTCTATTTTATATAGGATGATTGAAGAATGTAACAAATGGGCATCTGTATTAGTGTTTATCAACTACGGCAATTTTAAGGCGTGTGGACTTCAACTTCCAGGACTCTCAAATGTAAGCTGAGAAATCCTAGGAGTTGAAGTCTAATATCTATAAATTGCCAAGGTTGAGAAACACTGGTTTATATAATGCTCAGAGCATGAATGGTGTGGAGGCCTAGAGGTGAAGACGCTTGCCTCCCACTCAGTTCAGAGTTCAATCCTAGGCAACAACAGATGTTTCTCTATCAGGGCTCAGAGAGAAAATATCTGGTGCAAACTCTGCATAGGCGTCAGGGAGGGCACCCGTCCAGTAAACACCGCCCAAAGCAAAAGATTACAAGGTCATAAAAATAAATAAATAAATAAATTTTGGTATGTCTATGTCTATCTGTGGTGGCGCAGTGGTTAGAATGCAGTACTGCAGGCTACTTCCGCTGGTCAGCAGTTGCCAGGAGTTTGACAATTCGGAACCCACCAGCTCAAGGTTGACTCAGCCTTCCATCCTTCCGAGGTGGGTAAAATGAGGACCCAGATTGTTGGGGGGCAATATGCTGACTCTGTAAACCACTTAGAGAGGTCTGTAAAAGCACTGTGAAGTGGTATATAAGGCTAAGTGCTATTGCTATATCTATACATGTATAAAATGTTCAAAGCTTGTGTTTTCTTTAAAACATAGAAATGAATTAAAAAGAATAGCAACTCCTATAACATTTTAAATAACAAATATACAAAATACAATATACAAAATGTTAAATCGCAATTATCAGTTCTTCAGCTGGTATTGGTCTTCATATGCATTGAGTTCTTCCTAACCTAGGATGCCATTATGTGTCACCTGATATACATGCACAACCAAGCAGTGTGGCCTTTTGTAAACGACAGATGGAAATACTGTTAATGCAGAGGGTTTTTTTAAGTGCTCTGTCCAAGATTTTTTGGTATGATATCTAGTAGCCCAATTATCACTGTATCATCATCATTTTCATCATCATCATTATTAAAAAGATATCTGAAGTTAGAACTTGGTTTGTCACCTTCAGAAGGTAAGGTTATTGACCTTGTTTAACCGCAATTATAGTCCATTTATTTGTCAGCATGTTTTTTTAAGTACAAGGAATTTTCACTGGAGGTACAAATGGACAGCTTCAAATTATCCTATTTTGGTCATTTACACAAAGATCTAGTTCTCTGGAAATGGCTCCAAGTCTGGAAAAAGAGGATGAAAAGAAGTGGAGGACAACTAGCTACAAGGTGAATGGGCTCAGGAATAGGAATTATGAATATTGGGAGACCGAAATGACCAGGATGGGGATAGATAAGTTATGGAGAAAAACTATATGATCTCTAAGAGTCAATACTGACTTAATAACACGTAATAAATCAATTTGACTATACTAATATTCTTCCCTTTTAATACAGAGTGTTACCTTTTTTATGAAAAAAAGGGCGACATGATTTCCGATACCAAAGGACAATTTCAATCTTGAACAAGATGCAAATTAATACAGGTATAATCAGTAGTAATATCAATATCACGAAAGCTCCGTGGTTTTTGGCTAAATCAGAAAAAAAAATCATATTCAATTCAGTATTCTATGAAATGGTTAGGATAATGATTAGCACTGAGAAACCACTGAGCTAAATTTGTCTTTCCTCAGGAAGTATCAATGTCTTCAAGTTTAAAGAATAGATAAAAATCATATGTGTGGTATGTTAAGAAATGTAATTGTGGTGTTGGCCAGCCAGGAAATATATTTGTATCAAAGAGTTAATCCAGATTCAATTTTTCACAAATTTCAAGTCATTAATTGTCTATATGGTTTTAAGTTACATTGGGCACAAAATCAGTTTTGCACAGAGGAAATGTCACTTCCTTCTACTCTGCTAATGCCTTTGATGGTAAAAGATATTAGGGTCAAAAATCCCCAAATCCCAAAGATCTCAATTATGAAAGGAACAAGGGAACTTTGGTATCATATTCCACCACTCTTTGGATGGCAGTAACTAGCATAAGTTCAGGAAAGCTCCTTTAAGATCTTATTACAGGTCTTATTACTTGACTTACAACAATTCATTTAGTGATTGTTTGAAATTACAACAGCACTTAAGAGCATTTTTCCCCTTATGACTGTTGCAACCCTTTAACTTAGACAACTTTCCATTTTTATCCCTGCATTGGTTTGGTTGTTTGTTATATTCTGTGTCTGTGATGGCGAACCTATGGCATGCATGCCGGAAGTGACAGACAGAGCCATTACTGCTGGCACACGAGCCCTCGCCCAGATCAGGTCTACTGCATATGTGCGTGCACTGCCCATCCGACAGCTGATTGTCAGGTATCTGACGTGCATGCCTGGGGGTGCGCGGGAAACGCACATGCATGTGCAGAGACGCACGGCGTAGGGGGGAGTGTCGCATTATTGGCACAGGAGCCCAAAAAGGTTAGCCACCACTGTTCTATGTGGTAAATTTGCAGCAGACTAAATAAAAAAAATGAAAAAGGAAAAATATTTTAAGACTTTCAGCGCAATCCAAGCAATACAAGTACAACTTGAATTCTGATAGACATAGAATTTCCAATGGTTGAAATTTGATGCATACCAGAATACATTTCACAACAAACTACATGGCTTGCTTTCCAATACATGCACAGATTGTTTCCATTTCATTCTATTTCTCACTTCTATATTCAGTATTTCAGAGGCTGAAATGCTGCAGCAATATTTCATTATTTCTACAGCTATATCTTTTCCCTTTTTTCCTGTCCTAAATTTTCATTCTTCCCATACATTTAGAAATCAAATATAAAACGGCATACTTGGGTGCTGTATTTTGATGTATGCTGCAACTTCACCTGCATGGCAAGTAAAGTGCTGGTCATAATCTTCATTTTTCAACTCTGTGATGTTCAGAGACACTATAAAAATCTCTGCTCCTTCCTTTGGAATATTTGTTCTGTATTAAAATTGAAATATATTAAAATTTCACATTTAAGTTAGACTGTAAAGAACTGCCATGTTCACACAAAGGTTCAGATTCAAAACCTCAACTTAAGTTAACACTTGATGCCAGAAAAACTAGCTATATCATCTACTCTTTGCACTGTTTCACATATGCCAAGAATTGATATCATACAGCCATATATGCCTATTCAACTTGCTTATGCCTTATGTGGTTAATTGCAAAGAAGCTGTGTCTGAATTTCATTATTGATAAAGTAGACAGTGATTATATATGTCTTGTTTGTCTTAGAAGATGTTTCGCTTCTTATTGAAGAAGCTTCTTCAGTTATGACTGGATGGTGGGAAATGGGAAATTTATATTCCTTGCAGACAGCTGGACATTTGCATTCTTTTAGAAAGTGGTTGAGGCTATTTGGAGGTTGGTCTGTGTTTTCAGGGTCACCTACCAGTAAGTAGTGCAAATGGGTGTGGAACATTTTTGGAACTGCTGAAAGAGATCCTGTAGTCTGCAATATTTCTGCAAAATTCATACTCCCACACCATTCAAGAGTGTTCATCCTAAGATGCATAGCTAAATGTCTATGGACATTCTCATCCAGGTCACTGTTGTCCCAAAGGTGCTTTTTTGTCAAGTGGCCTCAACAGCTTTCTAAAAGAATGCAAGTGTCCAGCTGTCTGCCAGGAATATAAATCCATCCATTCCCCACCATTTAGTCACAGTTGAAGAAGCTTCTTCAATGAGAAGCCAAAGGTGGTCTTAGAAAAGTCCAGTTGCCTCTTGAAAAAGCACCTTTGGGACAGGGATTATATAAATATATCATAATACTCAGTGGTCTATATAATACAAAATATTCTGGAATAATTCATCATTTGTTTGGTTTGGCAAAAGAGCATCAAGTTGTTTATTTGTCTTTGTATTAGTGTATGAGCATTAAATCTATTGCAAAAGGAAAACAAATTGTGCTTGATTAATTTATGTATTAAAATAGATATCATACTTACTGATTTCCTTCTATAATTCTACCTTTAAATAGATTGTCAACTAGAGTATTATTGACTCTCCAGGATATAGAAATCATATTGTCTCTGAAACTTGATACATTACACTCTGTAAAGACATTGGATCCTAAAAAATTAATAGAAAAGTTATTTTTTTTAAATAGATTTATAAATAAATAAATTTATATCTGTGTAACGTAATGAAGGCATTTCAGTTTTTCTTCTCGCCCACCCTGAATGTCATTGCATCATTGAGATTAAAATGTGTGCAAATGGAAAATGGTTTATAAGTTTTTTATTGTTTTTTTTTTAAATTAAGATAATAGCAGAAAACTTACCAACATCAGCTTCAATAGTATTGTTTATGGGATACAAAATTTCAGGTCTTTTCCTGGGTAAATTTTCTGACAGAACACAAATATATATATATATATATATATATATAAGCCTTTATGTCATACATATGCAAAGGTCACATAATTAACATTCATTTAAGCCAAAATTTTGTTATGTAAATTTTAGAATATCAAAACACATTACAAAGATTATCTTAGAAGTACATAAACTTGCTGATAGCTTGGTATGTATGAATTCAACATCTGTACAATTTTTATTCCAAGAAAAATCCCAGTGGCTTTCATACAGTTACTTAAATAAATAAAGCATTTTTTTAAAAAAATATATCAGATAGCAACAAGAATAGAGAAGGAAGAAAAGGCAAAAGACATTCAGGCCCCAGAATTAAATTTTAAATACTATCCAGATGAATACTAGGACTACAATGATTTGAAAATGATTCATAAGACAACTTGGGAATGTGCACCTCACCGCCATTTACTGAAGCAGCCCATCTCTTTCCAGATTTCCAAAATACAGCTGATTTTTTTAAAAAACCAGCCTTACTACAACTTTCCCGGAATTCTTGTGAAGAAATATTTAAAAAGAGGAACTACTTTATTGACTAGCAAAAAAGATGCTATGCTTGTGTGAGGTCCAAACTAGTGGAGCAGGTGACAAAAGAAACATAACAATGCAAGCTCCGCCTCTTCCCGGTTGAACTTGCACATGATGTCACAACGGAAGTAGGAAATGGTGAAAATGGCATTGTGCCCACCTAACGTCACATTAGCATCACTGCAGTTAGGAAAAGATGCCTATAACCTAAAGCAATTCTTATGAATCATTTTGATATGTAAACAGCTTGGATGCAATTCAGGGAGAGTGGGTTTTGGTGGATTTTGTCTTTTAACTAGGATGATTTAACAGCCATCACTATTTTCTTTTCCTCTGCTACTACCTAATGAAGGGCAGACTGATAGAAGAGTCGGTACTGTTATTTCCAATGTTTAAATGAAAAACAGTACTGACCCCTAAACTGTTCTGACTAAGGCTTCCTAGACCCTATCTACGCACACGCTCATTTTAAAAACAAGACTTATTTTATTGCAACACTGGGAATTGTTTTCATTCCCAGCCGGAATTAATCTCAGTCTCTCGAGATAAGCACCCACCTTTCTTTTTTGTGAAGTGCTGCCAATAACAGAAGTATCAAATGAACTAGAAAAAAAACCAACCAAAGTACAAAGTGCTTCAAGAATGAATCTGAACCAAAGGAACTACTTTGCTTCCTGCAAAGGTCTCATCATCTTCGCCTGTCCTTTGTACCTTATGGGAGGGGCAATCATCTCCCAGCCTTACTCTCGAGTTGCCCCTTTTGTTTCAGCTGCTCTCGCCTCTTAACAGCTCTGTGCACACGTGCACTGGGAACAGGCTCCCGAGTCCTCTGCCTTGCTGCTGCCAGACTCTGAAGGCTCCGGAGGCAGTACCCGACTCCCAGATGGTCCTGGCCCCATCTCTGTATCGGACGCAGGACCCTTGTCCGAGTTCTTTTCAGACTACCGGACTGACCCCCATTCTTCCCACTGTCCGATTCCGCTGCCGTCTGCACCAGCTGCCAGTGAACTAAAAATAAACTATCATGACGATGCCCGCCCGCTGACCTGGCCTACAACCAGCACCATACCCGGGTCTGCAACAAAGGCGCTTGGCGGAGGTAGGGAGCTCTCTGCGCTCCGCCATGATTGGCCATTAGGAGCAGTGGGTGATGAGGCGTGGCTGCCTGCAGGGCGCTCCTAATGGCAAGTTCACCCTGCCCTCCCCCCCCC